TGGCACCTCTCGGCCTCCAACTCCGTGATCTCGTTGATCGTGGCCTGTAGCGCCTTGGCAGCGTCGTCCACCGCCTGCTGCGCCTCGACCACCACCTGCTTGAGCTCCTCGACCATCTCGGTCTGGCGCTCCCGTTTTTTAACCAACTTCGTGTGCTGAAAAGACATTTCCTTGAGCCGTGTGTCCAGAGATTTGCCCCGAGTGATCTGACCCCGAAGGGAGGTCTGACGTGCTCGCAACTCCCCCCGCAACTCATCAAACTCAGGGCCAACGAAGTCTGCAACCTTCTGCAGCTTCTCCGTGATGTCCCCGAGCTCCTTCCGAGCTTCAGCATCGCTGTCCTTGCCCGCGTCGACGTCCATGGCGTCACTCTCGGGCTTGGGAGCGACATCCTTCTTCCGTAGCTGAGCAACTTCCTCGCGCAACCGCTTGAGCTCAGAAGTGAGCTCGGGGTCTGGCTGCGCCAGTGCCTTGGTCGCCGACACCGAGGGAGCCTCAGGTTGCTTGATCCCCGCGAATGCTGACGCCTTGGGCTGCTTGCAGAGCGAACAGTGGTCCAGGTCAGCTCGATTCCACCACCTGTCGCCAGTCTGGTGCGACCAGCAATGCTTACAAAACCATGGCTTGGCCCATGCCTGGCGTCTCTGCTTATGCCCCGACGGCGGAGCTCCGCCATGAGAACCGAGAGATGGCGCCATGGGCCTTCCGTAAACTTCTGCAAAAACGAAATTGTGCTGTCCACAGGCGGGAACCCCGCGTACAGTACACGGTATGCAGCAGCGCCTCCAGGCCTGGGCAGGCCACTGGGGAGACGCAAGAGCGGTCGGGGGCCGCAACAATCCCCCACGCCAGAATGTCAAGTCCTGAGCGAAACGCTACGGACTTGAGCCAAAATGGCTACGGCCCTCGAGCAGAGCAGGGCAGAGCGGAGCGGAGCGGAGCGGAGCACAGCAGAGCGGAGCGGAGCGGAGCGGAGCAGAGCAGAGCAGAGCGGCCTCGCGTCCACTCCCTGCCGGGAGCGGTCCTGGGCAGGCCACTTTGAAGAGCCCTCGGAGCCGGTCACGGAGCCAGTTCCCCAGACGGCGGTCGCACCAAGATAAAACTCGAGCAGAGCGGAGCGGAGCGGAGCGGGGCGGAGCGGAGCGGGGCAGAGCGGAGCAGAGCGGAGCAGAGCGGAGCAGAGCGGAGCGGAGCGGAGCAGAGCGGAGCAAACGGCGTTCGCACCGAGATCGCTCGAGCAGAGCAGGGCGGGGCGGGGCGGGGCGGAGCGGAGCAGGGCAGGGCCTCGCGCCCAGCTCCCTGCCGGGAGCGGCCCTGGGCAGGCCGTGGGCGGCGAAGCGAGAGAGATGTGTGCAGACGGAGGTCGGGCCTGTCCCCCTACAGGGGGATTCTGGACGAAGAAGAACAAATACCCAAACAATACTCAAAAATGCTCAAAAATGGTCAACCAAATCGTCCCCTGACTATGTTTCTACTGTTTTTGAATATTCCCCCTGGAGAGGAGCAGGCCCGACGTAAGTGCCGAATCGCTGCAGAGATCCCTGAAGTACGCGTCGGCCCACGCCAGGCCTGTCGGCTCGTAAGGAACTGGCCTCCGCCTCCCAGCTCTGGGGCTCTCGCGGGGGCCCTCCCAGGTGCCCGCCGCACGTCTCCTCTCTCCTGGGGGGGGTCGGCGGCTTTGCGCAAGCCTCTTGAATGACACGCCTTGCAAATGACAGTCGACTGATCTTGGGGGGGAAGCCTCTGGGGGAACACCTCACGGCCGTCGGGCGAAGCTTCCGGGCGTGCAGGAGGGGCCTCCGAGCTCTTCGGAGGGGAGGTCTCGGGGCCACCCCCAAGAAACAACCAGCCTCGAGCTCGAAGACGATGGGAGTCTTAGGGATGCGCCCTCTGAAACCGAGGGAATCCTTAAGATCGGCATCAATACAAGGCGATGCTGGTCATAGGGATAGGGACATGTCTCAGGCCTGCAAAGAAAATGAGACCCCTTCGCATATGAAAGCCCCCGGGGATCCCGAGGCCGAGGCGGAGCGTTGTTGTTGGGAGGGCCAGATTCTGGATGCTTGGAAATAAGCACCAACACCACAACAGGGGGGTGCGTCCTCCGGGGGAGGATGATCCTAGATGCGGGGGAAGACGATCCTAGATTTTGGCTACCCAGAAGCCCGAATATTACCACCATCACCGACATCGGGATAATATTCCCACGGTGGGAGCACACCGCCCATATTGGTGTTGGTGCTAACCTCCAGGCCTCCGAAGTTTCGACACACACCCGGCAGGCTCAAGCGCGAGCCTCGCTTTCAGAGGAAAGGCAGCTGGCACCGAGGCGGGAGCGCCAGGTCGCATTGAGGAGGAGGAGGCGGAGGAGGAGGATGAGGAGGAGGAGGAGGAGGAGGCGGAGGAGGAGGACGAGGAGGCGGAAGCGCCGAGGGGGTCCAGCAATACTATTTTGGTTCAGCAGCGAGGTTTCAAGCGGCTCGCTTGTACGCGCGCGCGTGACTCAATCTGTGTACCCCGCTTCCTTTACCCCCGTCCGGTTCGTCCCCCTTTTGGAGGGACTCCGTTCTTGACGCCAGCCGGTAAGAGAGGCGGGTCGGGCGGGCGGACCCTAGCGGGCGGACCGGGCGGGCGGTACTCAAGGCAGGTGAGTCAGGGGCCGGGCGGACCCTAACGGGCGGGTCGGACGGGCGGGAAATTGCAGCGGGCGGGCGAGCTTTCATACAAACGAACGGGTCGGGCGGGAAATTGCAGCGGGCGGAGCGGGAATAAGATCGAATATGGGGGGAAAATACTAGAGCTCTAACGAATTGTTGACTTTCGAGAAATTAATGTTTAATAAGTCCCAAAAGACAAAAACTTCCGTCGAGATTTTTCGGGCCAACTAGCCCCCCAGCGCGCCGGAATTACTCTCTGGCTTCGCTGCTTCGCTCAGACCACAAAAGGCGGGTCGGACGGCGGGGGCCAAGGAAAACGGGCGGGCAGGCTTCCAAGCAAGCGAACGGGCGGGCCTGACGGGCGGGTCGTGCGAGCAGACCTGCGGGTCGGGCGAGCTAAAAAACAGCGTTGGGAACCCAAGGCGATGGCACGAGTCCTAAGCTGCGAGAGAGAACGGGGACATGAAAAACTATGAGGATCCTTCCTGCAGGAGCGCGATATCCCAGTCAATTCCAAGGCAGTCTCGAGCGAGTGAGGATGTTTTGGGCGGGAGCTGCCCTTGTTGCAGTCTGTGGGCCCACCAGGGTCACTTCAATCAAGAAACACGGCACCGGTGGGCGAAGCTCAACAGTCATTCCCTGGCGCAGGGTGTCCAGAGCCTGGAATTCCGACCCCTTTTTTTCGGCACGATCGGCACGGGCACTGTCACCGCGTCCCCCCTCCCCCCCAGCCAGCCCAGCTCACCCGCTCGCCTCCCACCTGGCGCGCAGCCTCCGCCCCGACCAGCTCCTTTCGGCGCGCACGCACGGCACCGGCACCGCGCCACCTCCGCCCCCGGCCAGCCCAGCAACCCCCACGCCTCCCAGACAGCGCGCCCCCTGAGCCCCGAACATTGCATTTCGGCACGGATGCACAAGGGGGCCCCAGATGCTGAAAGGTGGTCTCCGAGATGGCCCATGGTCAAAGACAGCCTCCAACATACCCCAAAAGGTCCCCAGACCGCCCCAAGACGGTTCCAAGTGCCCTCCGAGCCATCCAAGGCACACCCCGGAAGGCCTAATTCGTACAAAAACCGTGGGGTAATCGAGGTTGTTTGCCTTCTCGCCTTTTCGTTTCCGATGGGCTTTTGAAGCCTCAAAATGGCCCTTGCATGGCCCACCCAAGGGCCCAAGAGGAACCGACCCAAGACGGCCCTGAGAGCGCCCAAAAGCGCCCCAAGAGGGCCTCAAGACGCAACTTTCGACCTCCGAGCGGAGGACATGAATTGAAGTTTTCCTCTTTTGTTGGCTATGGGGCCCAAGACCGTCCCAAGAGGGCCTCCGGACTCCCCAAAGAGTCCCAAGAGGGCCCCGAGACCCTCCAAAAAGAGACCCAAGAGGGCCCCAAGAGAGCCCCAAGAGTGCCCCAAGAGGCCCCACGGAGACCCCAAGAGGGCCCCAAGATGGCTCCACGAGTCCTCCAAGAACCTCTCGCAACAACATATCTGCAAAGGCCGCCTGCTCATCTTCCCTATCCTCGTCTGGCCCTTCCTTGATTCCTGCGATCGGTTCTGAATGGGCTGGTGGCGACAGTTTTCTTTTGGTCTCGGCCGCAAGCGAAGGCGCAGGCGGCGGGTCGGTAAGTCCGGGGCGCGGTCCTTATTAATTTACAGCGAGCAGCAAACTAGAGCGCGGGGTCAAACCTAAGCTGCCTAAGCCGCCGAGCTGCGCTGCGGTGAGCTGGGGGCGCCAGGGCCAGGAGGTCGGAAGCGGGCTGGTGGCGACACGCGCAGCGTCAAGAACTGCCTCCAAGCTGCTCCCGGAGCGTGGCTGCGTGCTGCTACGAATCCCCAATCAGGGCAGCTCGGCCTGGTGATTCTTCCTTGGACAGGCTGGTGGACATGTTTTTTTTGGTCGCGGCCGCGGGCGAGAGCGCAAGCGGCGAGGCTTAAGTCCCGGGCGCGGGCCTACGAATTATAACAAGAGCAAGTTAGAGCGGCGTAACCTAAACAACTATAGCTGCCTAAGCGTCGCCTCAGGTAGGCTGCAAGCTGCACTGAATGTGGATGCCAGGGCCAGGGGCAGAAAGCGTCCACAACTGGTGGGCATGCGGGACGCGTCATGAAAGCTCCCGCTTCTGAGCCACGGACTGGCAGGCAGAACAGAAGCTGGGAACGCCAAGAGGTACCGATACCGTTACTCCCCGGACCTCTCCGGGGGTGCGTTCTGACCAGGATTTCGAAGCGAATCCCACGGTGGCGACGAGGGCCTCCCAGGAGGCCCGAAATGGAGAAAACGAAGAAAGGATAGAGGTATAGGTACCTTCTTCTCCTCCGAGAAGCAGGAGGCGCAGAGCAGCAGGGC